GCAAATAAGTCGCTCCTCACATATCTCATCCGATCTAACAATATTTGTTTATCCTCTTTGGCCTGTTAGGACAAAGGCAGCAGAAGCTGTTGAAGCGCAGTCGGGCAGGGACAGATGACAGCTTGTTAGCATTCATGCGGGTGGAGCGCAGAATGGAGCTGACGGAAAGCTGAGGGTAAGTCTATGACATGTGCATTAGCTTTCCCATATGGGCACATTTTACTACAAAACGACTATGAATATGTACAGAGGCAACACCTAAACCTGATCATTCATAATGTATCACTGTGAACAAATGGGTTGATATAGTGAGAACACCCATTAACCCAATTACCTAATCATGAGGGAATGTGCAATTAGTCAGTGAGGAAAAACAGGGGCTGAACCCCTGCTTGTGCTCCTGTTCGCCTGCCTGGCGAAGAACACCATGTCCTACCATGTACATGGCACTGCCCTAACCCCAAACAAAATTGTGGATTGTGGGGCTTGTGCAATGTTTGGAATAACACCAGTATCCAGACTAAGAGCATATTGTCATGTATTACGCGAGTAAACAGCTTCTTATACAGACGATTAGGAAGAGAAACTATACAACTTAACTGTGATGCTGTCAGATGAGGTAGGTGCGAGCAGGCTGTTTGACTTTAAACTTATGAAGCTTAATAAAAATAACATGATGATTTATACATGGAATGACAGTATTCAAAAAAAAAAAATTTTTCTGGCTAATTAATTAGTGGGCATAGTACAGTGTTAAGAGAAGAGCTGTAGTAAAAGACTTTACCCGCAGAAGGTGTGGTGGGCTTTTTCTCTTCTTTATCTTTAAACCCTTCTGTAAACCCGTATAGGGCCGTAAGCATTTTTGCAGATAAGTACCGCAAGTGAGTTATTATTATGTAAGACACATTTTTCTATAAGAAATAATTATATTGGAACTTGTTCGCTTAATCATGATGTTAAAGCAAAAGTAAATTGATTGCAAAATCCAGGAGGGGAAATCGACAATGAGCAAGGAAAGCAGTGAGAGAAGCAACTTAAGATATGTGATGTGACAGTTATAGATAAAGAAAAGCTGGAAATGCTTGGGCGCTTTCAACCAGAAAGATGAATCCAATGAACTGCCAGGAATGGAAGATTTTAGGGACAGTTTTTTTATTATATTATCTATTATTCAGTTATAATTTGTTAGCAGTTATTGAAAAAAAAAAATACAAGACACCAAGAAACTCGAAAAACATGAAAAAGGGTGCAGCGCACCTGAAAGAGGCCTTAAAAAAAAGTAGGTAAGAACTTCCATTGCAGGAAGAGGGCGTTCATGCAACAAAGGGTGGACTAACAGCCTTAAAAAAATAAATGTACTTCGGTTGGCTATGGATCGTAGCTTAATGCCGCACCTCAAATAATAGTAGGTATACACAAATATAGACAGCCCGCTGATTAAGCTTCATTTTTGTAAAGTATCCGTCTGTAGGCAGATACAATATACTGTGAGAGCAGAGTGATAAGGGCAGCGAACAAACTTAATATTGTTCAAACTAGGAAAATCCGGGCGTAGGGTCACGTATCGATGGGCTGTAGGTAGGTATTGGTCAGGGTTGATGAGGAAAGGGAGGACGCACAACGGGGGAAGAGGGACAACTGGTGGCCGGGAGAAGCAGAACAGGCGTCTGAAATGATGGCAAGAAATGTTAGAAATGCCAACAAGAAACCATTTGATCAATCAGGATTCATTTCTGATAATTACTGTAATTGCTATTGGTTCAATGAAATAAATAATAGCAAAGTGAATTCTAACACCAGGCAACAGTAAAGGCTACCAATTTTCTCCATAAATGATTGTCACCTGAATGTGAAAGACAAGATAAGTAAGTCTGATCAACACGTTTAGTTAATACTGTGATTAATTTCAATTTCTTGTTTGTGAACCGAAAGACATGAATATTGTTGTTATCTGTTGAAATACAAAGGAAAACTAGTTTTAGAAGTCAAGACAGTGTTATGCCATAATTAATGTCCATACTTACCCTGAACATGACAATGTGGCTAACTTTACACTTAGCCTTATTATGTTTCTTTTTCCTTAATGTGTCAGTGATGACAACATCACCCTTGCCAGGGTTGAGCATTTCCTCAAGGCCATCATAAAAATGCCAGCCTTTGTCAGCGCCCAGTTTGTGGAATGCCACAAAGTGGCAGGTGGTATGTCACTGCAGCTGGCTCGTACCTTTGTGGGTATTGACAGTATAGCAGAAAAATGTGATGACCACTCACAAATTAATTCAAACTATATTAGAATAACAACGTAAACAAATAAAATCAGTGACAAAAACATGTACAAGTGTGACACAGTGAAGTGTTAATTCTTTTCTTACTTTCCACCAAGAATTGTCACCAGGTGTGGCAAGGCTGCAGGATGCAGCTTGTCACTGAGATTGGCTTGGTGTATCACTGAGACCAGTAACACACATGGCTGTCCATTCACGAAGACACGCTGCAGTGTCTGCTCACTGTCAGTGCATGGGGCAGGACCTCTGTTAGGATAAAAGTTAGAAAACATTAAATATTGTAAAACTATGAAAATGTCAGACTCAATCGACAACTAGGCATGAGAGCTGTGTAACTGCATTCAAGAGAATGGTCTGTATGTTTGCATACTGTATACTTATCTTTTGCATGGAGCTGTAAGGGATGCATTCATCCACCTGTCAATATCTTTCTGTAAAGTACTGAAGTCTTAAATAAACAAATAAATCACATGTAAGATATGTAGATTAACATAAATATGACCATATTTATCTATCTTTTATCTTTATCTTTATTTATCTATCGTCTCTATCTTTGTTAATTTATATGAACCAATGTTTGTCGTTTTAAAATAAATTATACTTTCTCGCAAGTGAAATGAAAAACATGCATTGATTTTCATTTTACAGAATTAAATAATCCTTACAAGATGTCAATACTGTTGACTCGTCTTCTCACAACAGGACAAGCTGCATTATTGCACTTTTGCATGATTTCTGTTGTCATGAGATACTCGAGACAACATGCAACCATGTCTTCCTCTGTCCCATAAGCATCCCATGAAGTCCCTTTAAATCGGCCAATGGCGTTTAGCCACAATAATTTTCCCTGGGACCACTCCTTTTCAAAAAGTTTGTGGACTTACAGTAAGGTGGAAATCCAATTATTGGACCTTGCATTAAGCTCAGTGCTAATCCCTGGTCTCCTCTTGATAGCCATGTGAAGCATGTACAGGAGGTTGTCCACTGTACATGCATTTGTCATTGACACTGTTTGCTTCTCAATTAACCCTTCTCCTCCCCAATATGGACAGCATCCCTGTCTTTTTTGTGGTTGTTGGGGTGGTGCACCTTTGATGTGACTCTTTGTCTTTGGATGTTTTTGGCTGGCAGATTTTGCAGATTTTGCCACAAGACGCTTTTTTGTTGGAGGAGGAGAGTTGAAATACTTCGACTTTCTCTTTCGAGTACTTCGCTTTTTCCATTTCTCTTCTTGCGATGGGGAAGAGAGTCTGGACCATCAATGTCCTCTCCATCATCATTGTCTGATAAAGGCTGTTTCGTCTGTGGTACTTGCTTTTTCAGTAACATTCCTTTGATTCTTCCCTCAACAAACTGTTGCTGGAGCTGCAGAAAATCTCCTGCTCTTCTGTGCAGCTTTGATGTCAGAACCACATTTTTTGTTGTGCGGAACCAATTTTCTACTATGGCATTACTGTCTCTAGTTTTGCCAAGATGTTTTAGCATAACACCTGACCAAAGGGGAACTGCACCTGCATAGTCTAAAAGAATGCCCAACACAGACTCACAGAAATGGGTATTATTTTTTTGTGCTGCACCCTCTGCTTCATCTTTCTTTCTTGCTTTATCATTTGTTTCCTTTACCACAGCTTCGATGGGAGCAAAGAAAGGTGATGACTTTCTGATTGATTTATGCAGGTCCTCAGAGACTTGGTTAATCATCATCTGCATTTTTGATGTTTATTTTGTCTGTCTTCTGTGTCTGAATGGCTTCCTGCAGTGTTGACAGATGTTCCTGACACGTTTTTGTCTCATTCCTTGAACACAAACACAAGGGACTTTATAATTGACAAGATCACACATAAATCTGTGGCATTTTGGAGAAGGGCAAAGCTGTACAGGAAAAGATTTTTTTTTTCTTTTTTGCACTGCACCTTGCTCAGTTTCATGCTTATCAGCTTAAGCATGTGAGCAGCACAGAGGTGTATCACAGTCATTTGCACTGTCTGCTGCTCTTGGCATACCTGAAAACAAAGTCGTAACTACTGCTGAATGCTGACATTGTTGAATGCCTGAACAACTGCATGGATCATGGCCCAACTGAAATCTGTTCCGATTTTTTGTGGCCTCAAGTCTTTCAGGAACAGCTTGTAATAATCCCGATGCAGGCAAGTCAACCAGTGTAGAATTGTTGCAGTGGTTTGGTCTGATGTCAGCATTTCTGCTACTGGAACCACAGTTTGGGTTGTGGACTGGCATGGTGTGCAAAGTGCATAATATAGTACTGATTGGCTGGAGGGGTGAGGTTTTGCAACTACACTGCCAGTTGCATCCATATATAACAGACAATCATTCTTCTTCTGTTGTTAATGGAGAATATGTAACTGTGATTCTGAATAACTGTGAACTACAAAGGGAGACATTGCAACATACTGAATGACACTGTGTTTTAACTTGGAGCTTGGTTTTTCCACATCCTGCTTTTGCTGAATTTTAAAACACTCCATGAAAGTGTAACCCACTTATAGTAGATACACTGAATGGCTAGGTTCGGAAAGAGCTCATGTACCATAGACCTGAACAGCCGAACAATGAACAACACCAACCATGAAGTAAATTGCAAAAGTAAACTCTTTTAGGGAGTATTGTATAACAAAAGTTTACAACATTTATATAAACAATGGTATGAAAAATAACAAAGAAAATAAAATGGCGCCTTTAAAATAAAGAGTCTTGTTTTTCTTAGTACCGGTACTATTTTGTTTGTGTTCCTTCCAAATGTTCCTCTAATAGGGTGATTAGAGTCACACGCTAACTCTTTTGGGTGTGTAGCAATCCTGCCAACCAGGTTGGCCCT